GACTCCAGGCCTGAGCAGGAGAAACCAGCAACAGGATTTGTTTTGTTTTGCTGAATCTAGGATCACATTGTTGCAGGAAGTAGCTGGCAGCTAATGATGGCTGTTGCTGGGGGATCTGCTGGCCTGTAAACCAGGGTGTCCACGTAGCTGCTTGGGCTTCCTTTCAACATGGCTGCCTCTGAGCAGTTGTACTTCTTATGTGCCAGTGGACTTCGAAGACACAGGAAGTAGCAGTTTCCAGCAGTTTCCAGGCCACTCCCTGAACTGGCACAGTATCCCTTCTACTGTATTCAATTGGCCAAAGTATAACAGTGAAACAGAGAGGAACGAACATAACTCACTCTATTTGTGTTCAAGGGGCCTTTACCCATCCTGCAAGCAGGCTAGGATAATTTCGGAGCACTGGGACAATACGCAAAAACAGTAATCATGTAGTTTTAAAAACAACTAACAATATCTTATTAAATATGCACAGGAGCATTGCAACCTGACTAAGGACAAAGAAGTTCCCAACCTCCTCAGACTCTTGCTGGTGCCCAGATATCTGTGGTCTTTTTTTTTTTTTTTTTGGACAAGGTCTATCACCCAGGCTGAAGTGCAGTGGTGCCATCTCGGCTCACTGCAACCTCCACCTCCTGGCCTCAATTCATCCTCCCACCTCAGTCTTCTGAGTAGCTGGGACTACAGGTGCCCACGACCATGCTAGGCTAATTTTTGTATTTTTTGTAGAGACAGGGTTTCACCATGTTGCCCAGGCTGGTCTCGAACTCATGAGTTCAAGTGGTCCACCTGCCGTGGCCTCCCAAAGTGCTGAGATTACACGTTTGAGCCACCACACCCAGACGTAGGTCATCCCCCTCCTTTTTATTTTTATTTTTATTTTTTTTGATACAGTCTCACTCTATCCCCCAGGCTGGAGTGCAATGGCGCTATCTCAGCTCACTATAACTTCTGCCTCCTGGGTTCAAGCGATACTCCCACCTCAGCCTCCAGAGTAGCTGGGAATACAGGCATGCGCCACTATGCCCGGCTAATTTTATATTTTTAGAAGAGATGGGGTTTCTCCATGTTGGTCAGGCTGGTCTCGAACTCTCGACCTCAGGTGATCTGCCCGCCTTGGCTTCCCAAAGCGGGAGTGCTGGGATTACAGGCGTGAGCCACCACGCCCGACCATAGATCACTTCTTGATCCCAACCACCTTCTCTTCCTCTGCCCTTAACATAAAAAGAGCCTGAAATTTGTACCCACTTGAGATGGCACATTAGGACTCCAGTCTACCATCTTCTTGGTTTGCTGGCTGTCTGAATAAATTGCTTTCTTCCCACCAACTCCTGTCTCTTGAGTTTTGGCTTTTGAGCAGCTGAACGTGTGTTTGGTTACAAAAGCAGTCACAAGGTGCCCCTCACACCAAGATTTAAGAGGTGGAGAATTAAACTGTCACATTGAAGAAGAGAGCTCAGGACTGCCCCTTCCATCCGAGACAACAAACGGGCCAGTCCCTGAGCAGGCCGATGGGGAGGGGAGATGGCAGAGCAGCCCGAGACCTACAGCAGAGGGCTGGTGGGGAGGACCCTGGGAGGGACCACACACTCAAGATCTGTGTTGAGAAAAATTTCCAGGAACGTGGGAATGGGTCTGTCTTCCCTGAAATTAGTATTTAGAGAGAATCTGGACAAAAACCACATTCTCAGAGTGAGGCTTCGGTGTGGAAATCAACCCTTTGCCTGCTACACTGTTTCTTTTCTTTCTCTTTTTTTTTTGGAGACGGAGTCTCGGAGTCTCGCTCTGTCACCCAGACTGGAGTGCAGTGACACTATCTTGGCTCACTGCAACCTCCGCCGCTCGCGTTCAAGTGATTCTCGTACCTCAGCCTCCCGAGTAGCTGGGATTACAGGCGCCCACTACTATGCCCGGCTAATGCTTTTGTATGTTTTTAGTAGAGATGGGGTTTCACCATGTTGGTCAGGCTGGTCTCAAACTCCTGATCCCAAAGTGCTGGGATTACAGGCATGAGCCACCACACCTGGTTAATTTTTTTTGTATCTTTTTAGTAGAGACAGGATTTCTCCATGTTGGTCAGGCTGGTCTCGAACTTCTGACCTCAGGTGATCTGCCCACCTTGGTCTCCCAAAGTGCTGGGATTACAGGCCTGAGCCACTGTGCCCTTCCTGTTACATTGTTTTCTAGATGGTAAGAGATGGGAATATGCAAATGGGCAGTGAGCAGACCCTATCAGGACAGAGCTCTCATTCCAGCAGCCAGCGAGAAGCCCGCAGCAAGCCCGGAGCAATCGCCCCCGTGGCCAGGACGTGGGTAGTAACTAGCAACTGCCTCTCATTTTGACTCAGCTTCTGATGGGGCCCACCTGGAGACAGGCAAACACGCTCCCGGACAGTCCTGGCGGATGCCCTGCGCATTCCCATTCTGTCATTCTTGGGGTCCTGATGCAGACGCTAGGAGAGGGTTCTTGGACCTTGGCAAGAAAGAAGTTGGGGCAAGTCTATAAAGTGAAAGCAAGTTTATTAAGAAAGTAAAGAAATAAGCTGGGTGCGGTGGCTCATGCCTGTAGTCTCAGCACTTTGGGAGGCCGAGGCAGGCAGATCACTTAAGGTCAGGAGTTCGAGACCAGCCTGGGCAACATGGTGAAACCCTGTCTCTACTAAAAAAACAAAAATTAGTAGGGTGGGGGGCGCCTGTTATCCCAGCTACTCAGGAGGCAGAAGCAGGAGAATCCCTTGAACCGAGGAGGCGGAGGTTACAGTGAGCCGAGATCAAACCACTGCACTCCAGCCTGGGCGACAGAGTGAGATTCAGTCTCCAAAAAAAAAATTAAAATATAAATAGCTAGGCGCGGTGGCTCACGCCTGTAATCCCAGCACTTTGGGGGCCGAGGCGGGCGGATCACGAGGTCAGGAGATCGAGACCATCCTGGCTAACATGGTGAAACCCCATCTCTACTAAAAAATACAAAAAATTACCCGGGCGTGGTGGCGGACGCCTGTGGTCCCAGCTACTCGGAGGCTGAGGCAGGAGAATGGCGTGAACCCGGGAGGCGGAGGTTGCAGTGAGCCGAGATTGTGCCACTGTACTCCAGCCTGGGCAACACAGCGAGACCCCGTCTCAAAAAAAAAAAACAAAAACAAAAATAAATAAATAAAGATAAAAAATGTATAGATGATGATTCAGAATTCGTGACTTCCTAATGATTTTATTTTAAGGATTATCACCAGAATAAAACGTTGACGATCTCTTTTTCCAATCCTGGCTCAGCGCTGACACACTTTCAGAAGGGACCAGCTCCTTCCCGAAGAAACGAGGTATCCAGAGGCGGGCGGGGTGCGGGGAGCCAGGGCGCAGAGAGCAGAGCAGACTGCCCCCTGGTGGAAGGATGGAGGGACGCCACCAGCACGCGGAGGGGAGCCAGACAGCTGAGGCCGCCTGAGAGAGGAGGCTGCGCAGAGAAGGGGAGGGGGTGCCGGGCCCTGGTGTTGTCCTCAGCAGGGCAAAGAGAGAGAGGAGGTTTTTCCTCCTTCTCTGAGGGCAGAGGTGTTGGGTTAGGAAGTGCTCTTAGGGGCAGGGTGCAGGGACAGGGTGCAGTGGCAGGGGCCTGGGGCGTGGGGACGAAGCCTAGCCTGGGGGAGACAGATGGACAGCAGCCCTGGCTAACCGAAGCCATTGGGAATTTATTGGAAGAATATCTGAGCTCAGAGGATTAGCAGAGGCTGGAGAAACAAGCAAGTGGGGACTGGAGCGGCTCTCAGGGCAGGAGCCAGGAGACCAGCAAGAGCTCAAGGGAGGGGGGGGGACCGGGCGCGGTGGTTCACGCCTGTAATCCCAGCACTTTGGGAGGCCGAGGCGGGCGGATCACGAGGTCAGGAGATCGAGACCAGCCTGGCCAACACGGTGAAACCCCGTCTCTACTAAAAATACAAAAAATTAGCCGGGCGTGGTGGCGGCGCCTGTGGTCCCAGCTACCCAGGAGGCTGAGGCAGGAGAATGGCGTAGACACGGGAGGCGGAGCTTGCAGTGAGCCGAGATCCGGCCACTGTACTCCAGCCTGGGCGACAGAGCGAGACTCCGTCTCAAAAAAAAAAAAACCTGGGCGACAGAGCGAGACTCCGTCTCAAAAAAAAAAAAGAACTCAAGGGGAAGACGTCCCAGCCTTGGGTGGCGGGGGTGGGGTGGGGGGCAGCAAGGGGGGTGGATGAGAGGACTGAGCTCTGTGGAAGGACTCCCAGTTCACTATGTCAAAAAGGAAAACAAGGCAGGGCATCGCCCACGCCTGTAACCCAGCACTTTGGGAGGCTGGCGGGCAGATCACCTGAAGTCAGGAGTCGGAGACCAGCCTGACCAACATGGTGAGATCCTGTCTTTACTAAAAATGCAAAAAAAAAAAAAAAAAAAATTAGATGGGCGTGTGGCTACTGTTATCACAGATACCAGGGAAAAGGAGGCAGGAGACCGCTATTCGGGAGGCGGAGGTTGCAGTGAGCTGAGACTGCACCACTGCACTCCAGCCTGACAGAGCGAGACTCTGTTCAAAAAACAAAAAACAAAACAAATAAATAGGCACACAGTTGTGTGGGTTTAAACAGATGCAAATGGTCATGAACCACTGGGGTAGTAACAGAGCAGCTCCGTGCCCAAAGCTTCTCGAGGTCCCTTGTGGCCAATCACTGCCTGCACCTCAGCCCCGGAGCCACTGGGGAAGCCCTTTGCCCTGTGGGGTCGCCTGTCCTAGAACGTCTTGTTTTGTTTGTTTTGTTTTGTTTTTTTGGAGACGGAGTCTCGCTCTGTCACCCAGGCTGGAGGAGTGCAGTGGCCTGATCTCAGCCTCACTGCAAGCCCGCGCTTCCTCGGGTTCGCCATTCTCCTGCCTCAGCCTCCCGAGTAGCTGGGACCATAGGCGCCCGCCACCTTGCCCGGCTAGTTTTTTTGTATTTTTAGTAGAGACGGGTTTCACCGTGTTAGCCAGGATGGTCTCGATCTCCTGACCTCGTGGATCCGCCCCATCTCAGCCTCCCAAAGTGCTGGGATTACAGGCCTGAGCCACCGAGCCCAGCCTAGGAACGCTCTTATAAAAGGAGTCGTAGATTGCAGCCTTTTCCGCCTGGCTTCTGTCCCTCTGCAGGGTGCACCTGGGATTCAGCCACCTTCGTTCCTTTTACCCCCGAGTGTCCGTCACGTGCTGCCCTGCAGCCTGGTCGTGCCCCCACGGAAGGGCGTTTCCTTGTTCCGAGTTCTCAGTGAATGAAGTCCCTATAAACAGACATGTTCAAGTTCGCTGTAAACACAGTTTTCATTTCTCCCGGGTAGAGAACTCCGTAAGTAGGTAGGGTCGTGGAATGTTTCGCTGTGTGAGACTCTGCCAGGAAGTTTTCCAGTGTGGTCCTGTCTTGTTCGTCCCACAGAGGATGAGAGTTCCACTGACTCCTGGCCCTCACGGGCTCTAGGGATTGCGCGTGTTTCTGTGGAACGCCGTCCACGGTCTCCGAGGTGTGAACAGCGGTTTCCAAAAGTTTCCAGGCTGCGTCTTCCCACCGACTGATGCTCAGCGTGTTCTCATCTCCCCTCCGGATGTTTTCTTTGGTGAAGTATCTTTTCAGATCTCTTGCTTTTTTATTTTTAATTATTTTTTTGAGACGGAATTCTGCTCTTTCACCCAGACTGGAGTGCAATGGTGCCATCTCGGCTCACTGCAACCTCCCTGCACCCACCTCGCTTCAGGTTCAAGCAAGTCTCCTACCTCAGCCTCCCGAGTAGCTGGGAATACAGGCGCCCGCCACCACGGCCAGCTAATTCTTGTATTTTTAGAGGAGACAGGGTTTCACCATGTTGGCCAGGCTGGTCTCGAACTCCTGACCTCAGGTGATCCACCTGCCTTGGCCTCCCAAATTGCGAGGATTACAGGCATGAGCCACCGCTCCCGGCCTCTTTTATTTTTAATGGAGTGGCTTGTTTTCTTTTTACTGGGTCTTGGGAGTTCCTCATGGATGCCGGATTTCAGTCTCGTATCAGGTGCGTTTTGTAAATGTTTTCCTCTTGCGTTCTAACTGCTGATGCAGGTGAACTTGGCAGGGGCGTGGCTGGGAACTGGAACCCCCTGAAGCCCAGCGGAGGCCGCAAGCAGAAGCCCTAGGCTCCTTCCCTTCCCTGATGCTGGGGGCCGAGGGTCTTTCTCTGACCCTGTCCCCCCTTATGTCACCAATGGAGGGTATCCAGGTTCTTGGCATTTTGAACAAAGAATTGGACAAAACACACAAAGAAAGTAAGGAAAGAATGAAGCAACAAAAGCAGAGATTTACTGAAAATGAAAGCACTCTCTACAGGATGGGAGCAGGCGGAGCAAGCAGCTCAAGGGCCCAAGTTACAGAATGTTCTGGGGTTTCAATATCCTCTAGAGGTTTACCGTTGGTTACTTGGTGTATGCCCTGTGTAAATGAAGAGGATGAAGTCAAAGTAATTTTCTTGGCTGAACATGGTGTCTCACGCCTATAATCCCAGCACTTTGGGAGGCTGAGGCGGGTGGATCATCTGAGATTGGGAGTTCAGGACCAGCCTGGCTAACATGGAGAAACCCGTCTCTACTAAAAATACGAAATTAGCCAGGTGTGGTGGTGGGTGCCTGTAATCCCAGATAGTCAGGAGGCTGAGGCAGGCAAATCGCTTAAACCTTGGAGGCAGAGGCTGCAGAGAGCCAAGCTTGCGCCACTGCACTCCAACCTGGGCAACCATAATGAAACTCTGTCTCGAAAAAACAAAAACAAAAACAAAAACAAAAGTCGTGTACTTGGTATGAGTCCTATCTAAACCCTATGTAAACCCTATGTGAATGGAGGGGATGGAGTGAAGGTACAAAGCCATTCACGTTCCCATCATCATTGGTGTTTCCATTTGATCTGGTTCCAGGATGTCCTTAGGCTCCCTGCTGTCTCCAGGTCCTCTTCTCCTGCCTCACTCTCACTCCAGAGGACTGGCAGTGCTGGCCTCCCTGGCAGGACCCCCAACCCTGACCAGAGGTTTCTGGGTGGTGTGCTCTGAGGCCACCTGCTGCTCCTTGCCCAGTGTCCCTGGGTGCTCTGTGGGAACACAGAGAGGTCACTTGGGAGGTTCCGGCCTCTGCCAGCCTGCGGCGCCTTCCTGACGTCATTGCCCCCCGCATGCTTACACAACCAGTGATAAGGTGGTATCCAATGCCATAATCCTCCCCAGGGCCGGCCCAGCCCCGTCTGGTCCTGTCTGGTCCCTGGCCTGCTTGCTGGAAGCCCAGCTGGGGGCTGCATCGGGGGTGGTGGGGGTCTGGGGTGAGGGGTGCCCAGGCCTCTCTCACAGCGTGGGGGCACAAGCTCTGCCCTGGACACTCTGCCAGTGTGACCCTACCCACATGTTGGTGGTGAGAGAAGGGGGCTTTCTGGGTGGCCAGACCCCAGGAGAGGGGCCTAGCCAGAGCAACCCCAGCCCAGTTGCCTGCAGCTGCACCCCAAGGGCCCTGGCTCAGCCCAGCCAGACAGGGTGTGGACAGAGGGGCTTGGGCACGAGTCCAGGCAAGCCAGGACAAGTCTCTGCTATGGCTTGGCAGTGACCCCGTGATTGGTGACATGTCTGGCAGGCCTAGGGGACAAATCCTCAGCCCGGGTGCGTCAGGCCAGAGCCTGGCTGTCTGGAGCCCTCCAGGAAATGTCCCCCGGGGCTGGGGGACGCCCGAGTGATTGTGTCAAACAATGGACAAGAGGGCTGGAGTCTCGGAGCCGAAGTGCCTTCCGCTTCCATCTGCTCCGCCCAGGAGCAGGTGCACCCAGGTGGTGGCCTGGGCTATAAAGCTGGCTCCCTGGGGCTTGGGGACTCAGCACCAGGGGCTGGAGGGCAGGTGAGGCGATGACGTTGTTCCTGCTCAGCGCAATCCTGGCCCTGCTCTGGGCGCCCACGGCACAGGCTGAGGTTCTGCTGCAGCCTGACTTCAATGCTGAAAAGGTACCGGGGGCCTCTGCTGTCCTGCGGTGGGTGGGAGCTGGGCCCCCGCCGGAGACAACGTGATCATTGTGACAACTGCCTTTCCTGGGGCGCTTGCTCTGTGCCCGGCCAGGCACGTGCTGTAGACCCGCTCTGCGCTTAATCCTAAACCAACCCGTGAATGGATCATTACTGCACCCACTTCACAGCTGGGGAACTGAGGCTCACAGCTGCACTGTGACCTGCCCGAGATGAGTTCCTGTCCACCTGGGCTCAGCTCACACCCAAGAGATGGCCACTCCGAGGCCCCTTGCCGTGTGACTTCTGGGTTGTCCCCTGGGTCCCTGGGCAAGGAGGGTCCTGCTGCTGGCTGTCCTGGCCTGCGGTGACTAAGTCCCCGGCAGTTCTCAGGCCTCTGGTACGTGGTCTCCATGGCATCTGACTGCAAGGTCTTCCTGGGCAAGAAGGACCACCTGTCTATGTCCACCAGGGCTATCAGGCCCACAGAGGAGGGCGGCCTCCACGTCCACATGGAGTTCCCGGGGTGAGTTACTTGGGCTGGGCTGCCTGGGCTGGGCTGGGGGGCCGAGGTAGCTGGGTGCCATGAGTGAGCCAGCTGTGCACCCCCAGGGCGGATGGCTGTAACCAGGTGGATGCCGAGTACCTGAAGGTGGGCTCCAAGGGACACTTCAGAGTCCCAGGTAGGTCCTGCCTCATCCACCTTCAGGGGTGCTGGACGCTGGTTCTCTGGGGGTGACATGGGGCTGACTTTCCACCAGGGCTCCAGCTGCCCATCCCAGTCTCCAGCCCCTGCCCGCCCCTCCCCGCTCCTCCTCTGTCCTTGGGGGGAACACTCTCACAGCCCAGCAGCAGGAGCAGGCATGGGTGGGGTCGGTGCCCGGGCCCGTCCACTTCTCCAGCCTGATCCGCCGCCTGCCTCTCCGCAGCCTTGGGCTACCTGGACGTGCGCATCGTGGACACAGACTACAGCTCCTTCGCAGTCCTTTACATCTACAAGGAGCTGGAGGGGGCCCTCAGCACCATGGTGCAGCTCTACAGTGAGCGCCTGTCCACCTCCCCCCACTGGCCCCTCCCTGACTCCTCACAGGCCCCGCCCCCCCCCGTCCTGCCCCCCCCCCCCCTCCCCACCCTCACCTCCGGGGGAGGTCCCCCCTTTTAGGCCGAGTTTAGGCCTCGCCTCCTCATCCCCAGGCCCTCCCCTTCTGGTGCTGCCCCATGCCCTCTCCTGCTGTGACCTCACACACTCCTGGCCTGGCCAGGACCAGGTGGGGTGGGAGCTGGAGGCGCGCGGTGCTTTGGATGTGGAGGAGGTTGGCTGCGGGGCGTCCCGCGGTGCGTGCTCCTCTCTGGCCTCCTGAGAGCGGTACCCCGCCCTTCCCTGCCTGGCCTCGCTGCCTGAGTTCCGGGGCTGGGCCTGAGGTTCTTAACTCCTGCGGACTCCCCGGGTAGAGCGGACGGGGTTAGGCTGGAGGCCTCCGGGCTGCAGGGAAAGATGCTCAAGGGGGAGTGGGGCCCATGAGGACAGCCAGACCACCCCGACCTCCCGGACACCTTGGTGTGGACTGGGGAAGGAGGCCCCAGGTTTCCTTCAGCCCGGCAGGAGCTTTATGCAGCGCACAACCTGCCCAACCCAGGGTGGCGGCCTTGCTGTCAGCCCTCAGGGAGGTGGAGTAAGGCCAGGAGATCCCCTGCTGCACTCCTGTGAGCTGCTGGGTTCACAGTGACTCCTCTCTGCCCAGGCCGGACCCAGGACGTGAGTCCCCAGGCTCTGAAGGCCTTCCAGGACTTCTACCCGACCCTGGGGCTCTCCGATGACATGATGGTCATGCTGCCCAAGTCAGGTGCCCTGGCAAGCCCTGCCCCTCCCATGCCACCCCGTCTGGCCCTCCCCTCCCATGAGCCCACCCTTCCTTCCCCTCACAGCACAGGCAGTGTGCGGGCAGCAGGGGGTCTTCTCTTCTAGGCGTGGGCTGGCAGCCCCTGCAGTCCCTCCCCCACCTCCCCCAGCACAGATTACGGGAGAGGCTTTGGGCAGCCCTGGGAGGGAGGCTCTGGGCTCCACTCTCGGGGTGGTGGAGCTGTCCAGTGGCGCTTGGCACCCAGGGGTTGGGAGCTGCAGGAAGCGAGGGCAGTCCTGGCCATCAGCATCTCACGGATGTCTTCCTCCCCACAGACGCCTGCAGCCCTGAGAGCAAGGAGGCACCCTGACACCTCTGGAGCCCCGCCCCGGCCCTTCCCAGGTGGGTTCTCCAGGCCCTGCAGGGGCTGCCCTGGTTGCCTCTCCCCTCCCTATCGCAGCTTGACATCTGCTTGTGTCTGCCCCGTGCCCGCCCCGCTGTTTTGCCTGGCGACCCCATGCTTCAGGCTTCAGCTTAGACATCACCTCTCCCAGGAAGCCTCCCTTGACTTCCTAAGGTACCCATCACAGAGTACCACAAATGGGGCGACGTAAAACAGCAGAAGTTTGGCTGGGTGCAGTGGCTCACGCCTGTCATCCCAGCACTTTGGGAGGCCGAGGCAGGCGGATCATCTGAGGTCGGGAGTTCGAGACCAGCCTGACCAACATGGAGAAACCCTGTCTCTACTGAAAATACAGAATTTAGCTGCGCGTGGTGGTGCACGCCTGTAATCCCAGCTACTGGTGAGGCTGAGGCAGGAGAATCGCTTGAACCCAGGAGGCGGAGATTACGGTGAACCAAGATGGTGCCATTGCAGTCCAGCCTGGGTGACAAGAGAGAAACTCCGTCTCAAAAAAACAAAACAAAACAAACAAACAAACAAACAAAACAGCAGAAGTTTCTCTCTCCCAGTTCTGGAGGCCAGAAGTCCAAAATCAAGGTGTCCACCGGGCTGGTTCCTCTGGAGGCTCTGAGGGAGACTCCCTCCCACACCGCCCCCCAGCTCCCACGGCTTGGCGCTGTCCTGGGCGTTTGTTGGCCTGCGGAAGCATCGGCCCCATCTCTGCCTCCGTCCTCCCACGGCTGCCTTCCTCCTGTGCGTCAGTGTCCAAACTTCCCTGCTACTATCTGTGTTGCCGAAGCGAGCGCCCCACAGCCCTCTTCTTAGGAGGATACCTGTCCTCGGATTTAGGGCCTGCTGTAAATGCAGAATGATCTCATCTCCAGATTCTAAACTAATGGTATCTGCAAAGACCATTTCCAAATACGACCGCGTTTGGAGGTTCCAGGTGGGCCTGAAGTTTTGGGGACACGATTCAATCCACGGCCCTGTGTCCCCGCTGCGTCCACACAGCCCCTGGCTCCCTCCCCAGGGCAGGGTCCTGCTTTGGAATTGTGGGGGCCGTGTCTTCTCCCCCAGGGCCCAGGAGGGTAGACCACAGCCTTCACGCGCAGTGCCCATCACAGGAGCCACATGCGGGTGGGGTCTTGGGGAGATCTCCCCCTCAGCCAGACGCCGGAGGACCGCTGGGTCCCTCGCCCAGGTTCACCACCAAGAATTTGGGCGCAACCACACATCACGTGTCTGACGTGACAGTCACAGGCGTCTGGAGGGACACTGGCCCTTCCTGGCATGGCGGGAGGAGGTGGGGGGCTCTGAGGCGGGGCTGTTTCTCCTTCGTTTCCGCCGTGCTGCCGCTGCACTTCCTGCGTCTCTGTTCCTCTCCATGAGCTTCGCCTCCACTCCCAGGGTCCTCTTCCTGGAGACTCGCCGTCCTGCCTAGGGACACTGGGGCTGTTCAGCTTAGCACAAGTCTGCACCGAAGTCTCCCTACACACACCCGCTGGGTCGGGAAACATGGGGGTCAACACCCAATCGCCCTCCTCCAGAAGGTTCTGTGAGCAGAACATGTGGCCCCATCCCCCCATGATCTTGAAGAAGCAGCTTTCGGGGTAGAGTGGCCCCCACCCCATGACCATGGAGGTTGTGGGTTCTGTGGTGGCTTCATGGACATTCCAGGGCTTTCTTGCCACGCTGGCCCCTTCACCAAGGACCAGGCAGAGGCCGTGGCTCGCTGCCACTCAGCCAGGGGCTGGGCATGGGGCTGGGTCCCCACCCCCGGGGAAGGTGGGGAGGTGTTGGAGCCAGGGTCGGCCTCTCGCCTGGGGCCTGTGGGGCAGCAGTGGTAGCTGGTGTATGTTTCCAGGTTTGCAGGAGTTTTGGGAGCAGAGTGAGCTCTCCCTGGCCTGTCGGTGGTGGCTTTGGAAGAGTGATGCCCGGCTTGTGGGCAGCAGGAAGGGCGTTTGTTGCGGGAGTGGGTGATGGAGTCGCCGTGCGTTTTCCATGCAGGTGGAGCCACGGCAGCAGGCGCCTTCGCCCCTGAAGTCGAGACCCACAGCCCTCGGGGACCACCTGGAGCCTCTCCATCCTCCGACCCCTGCCTGTGGGATGCCTCGTGGGACGCCTCTTTCTATTCAATAAACAGATGCTGCAGCCTCACCTCTTTGGAAATGCCGTGGGGGAGGGCACAGCGGGCCCCTGCCTGACCCCAGCACTGCTAGGGAGATTGAGGCAGGGAGGCAAGTGTGAGAGGGCCCTGGGGGAGGGGGCAGGAGGCAGGGGGGGGGGGCCCGGGGGAGGGGCAGGGGGCAGGGGTGAGAGGCCCTGGGTGAGGGGCAGGAGGAAGGGGTGAGGGGCCCTGGGTGAGGGGGCAGGGGCAGGAGTGAGGGGCCCTGGGTAAGGGGCAGGAGGAAGGGGTGAGGGACCCTGGGTGAGGGGCAGGAGGAAGGGGTGAAGGGCCCTGGGTGAGGGGGCAGGGGACGGGGTGAGGGGGCACGGGGCAGAGGTGAGGGGCCCTGGGTGAGGGGCAGGAGGCAGGGGTGAAGAGGCCCTGGGTGAGGGGAGCAGGGGCGGGGTGAGGGAGCCGCGGGGCAGAGGTGAGGGGGCCCTGGGTGAGGCAGGAGGCAGGGAGTGAGGGCCCAGGTGAGGGGCCCTGGGTGAGGGGCAGGAGGCAGGGGTGAGGGGCCCTGGGTGAGGGGGCAGGGGACAGGGGTGAGGGGGCACGGGCCAGGGGTGAAGGGGCAGGGGCCAGGGGTGAGGGGCCCTGGGGAGGGGCAGGAGGCAGGGGTGAGGGGCCCTGGGTGAAGAGGCAGGGGATAGGGGTGAGGGGCCCTGGGGAGGGGCAGGAGGCAGCAGCCACTCTTGGCCTGTGTGGGGGCTGAACCCACAGGAAGAATGGAGCATCCTGGCCCAGTCTCTATGGGTCTGCAGTGCTGTGGGGAACTGGGCACCCTGTGAAGAAGGTCCAGCTGCTGGGGCTCTGCTGGGCACACAGGCTCCGGGTGCAGGAGATGGGAGAGCTGCAGGAAGCTGGGGAGTTAGGCCCATTTGGGTTTTGCGCCGCCCCCCGCACTGATGTGATTGTGGGCACCTGGTTTATACCCCTGGAAATGGGTCACAGTTGTGGCCAGGGGATTGCCAGCCAGCCTGGGTGCTCCACAGCCAACCTCATAGACATAGGTAGCTACCCTGTGTGCTCCTTGTTTCAAAGAGCAAGAAACTGGCCCAGCGCGGTGGCTCACGCCTGTAATCCCAGCACTTTGGGAGGCTGAGGTGGACAGATCACCTGAGGTCAGAAGTGCCAGACCAGCCTGGCCAACATGGCAAAACCCTGTCTCTACTAAAAATATAAGACAGCTGGGTGTGGTGGTGCACGCCTGTAATCCCAGCTACTCAGGAGACTGAGGCAGGGAGAATTGCTTGAACCCAGGAGGCAGAGGTTGCAGTGAGCCGAGATCACACCACTGCACTCCAGCCTGGGCGATGGAGCAAGACTCTGTCTCAAAAAAAAAAAAAAAAAAAAAAAAAGATCAAGAAACCGAGGCACAGAAGGGTTGGGTAACTTATCCAAGGCTGCACAGCTAGGAAGAGGCCAGACTGGCTGCAAGCCTGGGTGATCAGGCTCCAGGGCCGGACTCCGCACTGGCCCTGGGTGATGTCTGGCGCAGCAGAGGCCCTCCCCACTGTCACTCTGGTCACTGGCACTGTGCCTCTGGCCTCCGGAGCTCTGACTACCCACTGTGCCTGGCGCACATTTCAAAGGGCCGGGTGTGGGGTGGCACAGGAAGGTGCTGGAGGCTCTGGTCTATTGCCCGTCAGTGCCCACAGCCCTCGCAGTGCAGGCCAGAACGAGCCCAAACAAGTGTCCTGTAGGGTGGGGGGGGGTCACCAAGCCCCAGGTGGTGTGGGTGGAGCTCCTCCTCCTCTCAGGCCCCCAGACGGCCCCAGCAGCATCCACTGCTGTCCACACACCAGGAGGGTGGCCGGGCAGGCTGCTGTCTAGGCCAGGCTAACCCCTGCGGTGGGTGTGGGTGTCACTAGGGCTGGATGACGCTTGTGCAGAAACCCAAGTCTGAGCAGCCAGCAGCTAAGCTGTCCTGATGACGTTCCTGGGTGAGCGCACGAGCCTCTGCTGTCTGTATATAGTCGGCCCAGGCTGTGCAGCAGAGGAGCCCGGAGCCCGGACCCTGCCATGGAGGCCAGGCTGCCGTGCACCATCCTGGGTATCCTCGTGGTGCTCTGGGCGCAGGTGGCAGCAGCCATGGTGGAGCTGGACTGGCAGAAGGTGGCTTCTCCTTTTTCGTTGGCGGGGCTCCTCCTACACCCCCAGCCCCACAGGCTCAGGGAAGGAGGCCTCCCCTGGTGTGGGGAGCTCGTGGGGACGCTGGTGCCCGGCTAGACACTTCCTGTTAGTGGCCTTTTCTTTTCTGCTGAGTCTGTGTCGGCTGCTGGGCCAGGCACACATTGGCAGGCCCAAAGAAGGTAGATGCTGGAGACGAAGATTCTTTCCTCCCGAAAATCATCGGGTTTTTTTTTTGTTTTTTTTTGAGACAGAGTCTCACTCTCTCACCCAGGCCTGAGTGCAGTGGTGCAATCTCAGCTCACTGCAAGCTCCATCTCCTGGGTTCACGCCATTCTTCTGCCTCAGCCTCCTGAGTAGCTGGGACTACAGGCGCCCGCCACCTCGCCTGGCTAGTTTTTTTGTAGTTTTAGTAGAGACGGGGTTTCACCGTGTTGGCCAAGATGGTCTCAATCTCCTGACCTTGTGATCTGCCTGCCTCGGTCTCCCAAAGTGCTGGAATTACAGGCGTGAGCCACCGCGCCCGACCAAATGATCGGGTTTTTAAAAGTCTCAGTGGAAGTCCCAGCTGTGGGCAGGTTGCTGAGGGCAGGAGGCCCCTCCCCTGGTGTGGTTGGCAGGCTGGTGAACTTCGCTGCCCGAGCCACCCCGTTCCCTGCCGTTTCTCACTCCGCCGCACCCTGCAGGCTTTCTTTTCCAGGCCCCTGCTCCTGGGTCCTGCCCCCGAGGTCAGGCAGGGCCTGTGGTTCTTCCCCAAGTGCCCTGGAAGCCCCAGGGCCTGTTTGGCAGCTCTAGATGGCCCGGTGGGGAGGAGTCACCCTGTCGGAGTTGCTGTCTGATGGCTCGAAGGGACCCCTTGGAAGGACACACACCTGGGGACAGTTGGGCTTGGAAGGACACACACCTGGGGACAGTTGGGCTCACAGATGTCCTGCTGCTTTACCATCGAGCCTCACGGCCATCTGCTGACCTGTCAGAGCCCAGCAGGCCCCTGCCTGGGGGTTGGTGAAATGCCCCTGGGGGTCTCAGACCCACTGCCCAGCTCATGGCCGGGCTCCGCATCTCTCTAGATTGGAGGATTCTGGCGGGAAGTCGGTGTGGCCTCCTATCAAAGTCTGGTGCTGATGGCCCCAAAGCGGGTGGAGGGCTTGTTCCTCACTTTGAACGGGAGTAACCTGACCGTGAAGGTAGCATATAACAGGTAAGAGGCCTGGGGGCTGCTGGAGAGGAAGAGGCGTGCACGGCCGGGAACTGGGCGTGGGCCACTGCACCCACTGCAGCATGGGGTCTGGGTTGAGTGCCGTCCTGCCGGTGAGCCAGCCCTCCCTTTGCCCACCTGCCTGGGCCCTCGACTCCCAGGCTCCTGGATCTGAATTTTCTCCCAAAGGTAAGCATAGTGTTTTAATGAAGTCCTGTGAACTTATAAGGAAGGAAAAGGGGCGTGGGGCAGGTGGCTGGCTGGAGGGAACAGAGCCCCCAGGGGAAGGCCGGTGCAGCCCCCACCTGGCACATTCCCCACCTCATCCTGCTCCAGGCCCTGGGATGCTCCACAGTGCTGCCTGTGCCCTTCCTAAAGACTAGGCCGGCCGGGCGCGGTGGCTCAAGCCTGTAATCCCAGCACTTTGGGAGGCCGAGACGGGCGGATCACGAGGTCAAGAGATCGAGACCATCCTGGTTAACACGGTGAAACCCCGTCTCCACTAAAAAATACAAAAAAAAAAACTAGCCGGGCGTGATGGCGGGCGCCTGTAGTCCCAGCTACTCGGGAGGCTGAGGCAGGAGAATGGAGTGAACCCGGAAGGCGGAGCTTGCAGTGAGCTGAGATCTGGCCACTGCACTCCAGCCTGGGTGACAAAGCGAGACTCTGCCTCAAAAAAAAAAAAAAAAAAAGACTAGGCCCCACTCTGGGAAGGAGCCCAGCAGGTGGGTCACAGGCTGGCATTTTCCTGATGGGCACTTTGCTGCCTTTCAGCTCAGGAAGCTGTGAGATAGAGAGGATTGTGGGCTCAGAAATAGACACTACGGGAAAATTTGCTTTTCCTGGTAAGTGCAGTTGCCCTGTCATGGCAAGTGGAGCCTCGCTGTGCACACAGCTAGGCCTTATTGTTCCCCTTGCTGTTCCCTGCAGTGTTCCCTGTGCTGTTCCCCATGCTGTTCCCTGCACTGTGCTCTGTGCTGTTTCCCTGTACTATTCCCCATGCTGTTCCCAGCACTTTTCTCTGTGCCGTTCCCCATGCTGTTCCCTGCACTGTTCCCCATGCTGTTTCCTGCACGGTTCCCTGCACTGTTCCCAATGCTGTTCCCTGCACATTTCATGCCCCAGACCTTCCCATTCTCCCACCAACACACTGGATCATCCTTCAAAAGCTTCTGTAGTGTCCCCAACCACTCAAGTGCTGGGACTGGGTGGGGGCTGGATGGAGTTAGACCCTGCAGACCCTGGCCTTCGAGGTCCATCCCCCTCGGAGGTCTCCCCCAACGCCGTGGCCGGCTCCTGAAGGCCACAGAGAGATCCACGTGCTGGACACCGACTACGAGGGCTATGCCATCCTGCGGGTATCCCTGATGTGGCGGGGCAGGAACTTTCACGTCCTCAAGTACTTCAGTAAGCTTGGCCCTGGGGGGCTCTGCCCAGCTGCTGCCCGCCCAGGGACTGCCCACCCAGCCCCCCCTGTGCCCCACAGCTCGGAGCCTGGAGGATGAGGACCAGCTGGGGTTCTGGAGGTTTCGGGAGCTGACGGCAGACACTGGTCTCTACCTGGCGGCCCGGCCTGGTGAGCCCAGGGTCCTTGGGGTGGAGTCTGGGCTGGGCCCTGTGGGTTGGCTCTGCAGCGCCTCACGCTGGCCTTATCACGCAGGGCGGTGTGCCGAGCTTCTGAAGGAGGTGAGCCTGACCCCCGACCCTGGCCTGCGCTGAAGTCCCCGGGTCCCCAGCCCAGTCCCTGGCCCTGTCAGGAGCCCCCCGTGGCTCCACCTCCCAGCCCTGGGGTGGGGCCTGTTCACCCCTTCCTGTGAACAGGAGCCTGAACACCACTGGTGGGCAGCCCCAGAGATGAGTCTGTCTCCTGGTTTGGAAAGAGCTGGAGCCTGCAAGGTGGTGACCCTAGGCTGCTAGGCAGGGACCCTGGGAGGCTGGGGTCATGGGGTGCAGAGCTGGGTTGGGCAGGCGAGCAGAAATGGCGCCTTTTCTTCGGTGTTCCGTGCACGACTGCTGGCTGCTTCTGTCCCTGAAGGTCCCGTCGGGGGCGGGGCACAGGTCCTGCGGGGACTGCCTCAGGGTCCTATGTCGGGCACTGCAAGAACCCAGAGTCTCCCTCACCTCGCTTTGTCTTGGCCCTAGAAGTTGGGACCGTTACCCCACTTTGCAGATTGAGAAGGCACTCAGGGAGCTGAGTGCTTTGCCCAAAGCCAGGCAGCTAGGACAGAAGCCCCCGACAGGTGGCCCTCATCACTGCCCCATGGGGCCTCCAGAGACCACACGGACCTGAGCCCCCACACTTTTGTGTCGCAGGAGCTGATTTAATGGAGTTTCTGCCTCAGACCACGAGGCTCAGAGCCCCCGGCCCCTCCTGGGCACCCTGCCCACCGGGTCACCTGCACCTGCTCTGAATAAACTGTGATGTCTAACCACTGCCTGGTGTGTCTTTCTGGAGAGCCAATGGGTGACAGGTGTGGGGGGACGTGCCTGCCCCAGGGCTGGCAATAAGAGGTGTGTTTTCTGTGGCTACTGGACAAACAGCATGGCTCACGTACAAGGTAGCAGCCCCTGCCCTCCCGCCCTGCCAGGGTCGTGGTCAGGCTGCCCCAGGGTGCAGACCAGAGACAGAAACAGGGCTCCTGGTAGAGTCTCAGCAGGTGTCTCAAATGCATGGAGGCCACACCCCTCCTGCCTGCATCCTCCATGGCTCCCCACTGCCCAGGGCTCCAGGCTCACGGTCCGTGCCCAAGGCCCTACCTGATGGGTCTTGCTTCCGGCCTCCCTGGATCTCCAGCTGCCCAGCCCTGCTTAGCGTCTGGTTCCACAGTGGGCTCTCACCCTGTGGCCTGGGCTGCCACCAGCCGACGGCATCACTTTCTCTTCCCCCCTTAACTGGGACACGGGAAGGGCGAGGAAAGTGGCAGGTGTCATACCGGAGGTTCTGCGCCCAGGCCCCTGGGGATCAGCCGGTCCCCCATATACGCAGGTGAGACGACCCAGGGCTTACGAGGGTGGCTGCCTCGGGGTGGCAGCGGAAAGTGATACCTGAGGTTGAGTGGTGCTGGGGGCTGTGGGGGGAACTGCCCAAGTCGGGGGACCTTGGCAGCCCCCAGCCTCGACTGGGACACCAGAAAGGCCCTTCTAGGAACAAGGACTGCACCCTAGATGCGCCTCCAATCCAGAATCGTGCCCCCCGAGAGCCACAGGAGGGACACGTAGAGGCTGCATTCTGACAAGTTAGGGGCTCCTGGGAAACAGCTGTGACTTTGCGCAGCTGTGCCCGGCTGAGGCCCACAGGTTCAACGAGCTTAGCCTGGACTTGGATTTCCTGCCGGAGGGGCTGTCACTCTTGCTGTCTGCTCAGGCTCCTGTAACAAAATACCTCAGATTGGCACCTTAAACAACAGAAGAGTATTTCCTCACCGTTCTGGAGGGTGGAAGTCCAAGATTAAGGTGCTGGAAAATGCAGTTTCTGGTGAGGGCTTCCTGCCCACTCGCAGAAGGCAGCCCCTCGCTGCGTCCTCTCCTGGTGGGGAGTGCTCTCTGGGTGCCTCTTTCTCCCCTAATAATGACACCAGCCCTGTTAACTTAGGGCCACACCCTTTGACCTCACTTAATCTCGATTGCCTCCTAAGAGTCCCATCTCCTGAAACAGTGACCGTGGGATCCAGGCCTACAACGCAGGAATTTTGAGAGGGCACAATTCGTCCCAGAACAACAGTCAGTTTAGACGGTGACAGGTGCAGGGCTGCCATCATCAACAAGGTCCTGCCCAAAAGTCACTGGACGTCCAAAGACACAGAAAAATATGGCCTATGTTAAAAAAAAAAAAAAAAAAAAACAAGAAGAAGAAGAAAAGAAAGTTACTAAAAACTGACACCGAGAAGATCCAAAGTTGTATTCAGAAGATAAAGGTCTAAAGCAACCATTATAAGTAGTTTTAAAAAAGCAAGATATACTCTAAGGAAATAAATAGTGACATGATAATATTAAAGGACTAATTGATAAAGAAAATAAAGGAGTGAACGTAGGAGATCAGGTCAGGAAATCAACAGCGAAATGGAAATTATAAAAAAGAAAAAATTATGGAACTGAAAAGTGCAATAAGTGAAAAATTTACTGGAAGGAATAGGAGATTGGCCATGGTAAAAATAAGGTCCATGAATTTGAGCACAAATCAATGTGAATTATCCAATCTGAGGAACAGAGAAGAAAATGGTTGATAGCACCTCAAAGATCTGTGGGGCAAGACAAAAAATGTAAACTAGCCTGAGAAAGAAAAGAAAGTGAGAATATATGAAGAAATAGTGGCCAAAATAACCCAAACTTGATGAAAACATCAACTTAGATAGCCCAGAGGCTCAGAGAAACCCAGGTGGAATGAAAAAAAGCCTCACAAAATCACACCTAGGAACATTATAGTGAAAGCACTGCCAACCAATGATTTAGATAAAAATTTAAGAGGATCTGTGGGTAAAACACAGGACACAGCCAGGCTTGGTGGCTCATGTCTGTAATCCTGTAATCCCAGCAATTTGGGAGGCCGAGGTGGGAGGATCACTTGAGGTCAGGAGTTTGAGACCAGCCTGGGCAACATAGTGAGTCTTCACCTCTCTTTAAAAACAAACAAACAAGCCGGGTTCAGTGGCTCACACCTGTAATCCCAGCACTTTGGGAGGCCGAGGCGGGTGGATCACGAGGTCAGGAGATCGAGACCATCCTGACTAACACGGTGAAACCTCGTCTCTAATAAAAATACAAAAAATTAGCCGGGCGTGGTGGCAGGCGCCTGTAGTCCCAGCTGCTGGGGAGGCTGAGGCAGGAGAATGGCGTGAACCCGGGAGGCGGAGTTTGCAGTGAGCCGAGATCTCGCCACTGCACTCCTGCCTGGGCGACACAGTGAGACTCCATCTCAAAACAAAGAAACAAACAAAAAAAGACAGGGCATGATATAGTTTGGCTCTGTGTCCCCACCCAGATCTCATGTGGCATTATTGTAATGCCCAATGTTGGAGGTAGGGCTCGGTTGAAGGTGATTGGATCATGGGGATGGATTTACCCTTGTTCTTGTGATCGTGAGTGATTCTCAGGAGATCTGCTTGTTTAAAAGCGTGTAGCACTTCCCCTTTCATTCTCTCTCCTGCTGGCCATGTAAAGACTTACCTGCTTCCCCTTCACTTTCAACTATGATTGAAAGTTTCCTGGCTGGGTGCAGTGGCTCACGCCTGTAATCCCAGCACTTTGGGAGGCCGAGGCAGGAGGATTACCTGAGGTCAGGAGTTTGAGACCAGCCTGGCTAACATGGTGAAACCCCATTTCTACTAAAAATACAAAAAATTAGCCAGGCATGGTGGTGTGCACCTGTAATCCCAGGTACTTGGGAGGCTGAAGCAGGAGAATCGCTTGAACCCAGGAGTTAGAGGTTGCAGTGAACCGAGATTTCATCATTGCACTCCAGTTTGGGCAAAAAAAAAAAAAAAAAAAAGAAGTTTTTGAGGCCTCCACAGCCGTGCTTCCTGTACAGCCTGTGGAACCATGAGCCAATTAAACTTCTTTTTTTCATAAATTACCCAGTCTCAGGTAGTTCTTTATAGCAATGTGAGAATGGACTAATACAGGGCATAAATGGGGGGACACAGTGGCTGTCTTCTCATGGCAAATGGAAACCAGGAGATGACAATAGGGAATCGTTACATTGCTGAAAAAAAAAATCAAAGCAGATCTCTATAACTAGGACAGATATTCTTCAAAACTGAGGGTCAAATAAACATACTTTGAGACAACTGGAAGTGGAGGGAATTTATCTCTAACACAGCTTCAGTACAATAAATAAATGCCAAGGATATTCCTCAGGCAGAGGGGAAATGACTCTGGATGGCCACTCAGGTCTGCAGGAAGAAGATCCGTGTGACAAATGGGGACCAAGTGAGTCCATTGGAACCTGCATTCCTTGTCCTCCATTTGGTTACTTAATTATGTCAGCATGAACTCAGTAGTTCCTGTTTTCTTCCATAGGTTACAATTGATGAAAATCGTTTCTACCCAATGGGAGTGCCTTCGAAGTGGCTTCAGAGTATTGTTGGCACATTCCCCGATTCCTTGGGCACATTTTTGCTTTTTGGCACAAAAAACATTCCAAGTTCCTCTTATGTTTTCTGTACACAGGCTTTGAATAATTCACCTTTTCGTATAGAACCGTGTTGAGAAACCAAGCTCGGAGTGTTGGGCGTGCTTGCTTTTGCTTTTACTGGGTCTGATTGTATCTAAACCTTCTCAGCAGACAGAGCCTGGACTTTCCTTCTTCCCCTTCCTCCCTCCTTCTTCTTCCTGTCCCCTGCCTCCCTCTCTCTCTCTCCTTCTTCCCTTCCCCTCCCATTTCTCTCTCCTTCCTCCATCCTTCCCTTTCCTCCTTCCTTCCTTTCCTCCTCCCTCTCTCCTTCCCTCCCTGCCTCTCTTTATCTGTCTACCAAAATCGGAGTTCACATGGATACCTCCAATTCCAACCCAATGCCACAGGGTTCACTTTGATCTCTCCCCTTTCTACATGTCTATATTTATAATTCTCTTTTCCAACACAGAGAAACCCATTATCCTTGATATATTTACTCATTAGGTCCCTTCTAGAGCTCACGGAAAGTAGTATCAGAATTGCTCACCCAAACTACTATTAGCCATGAGCCTGCCCGCTAGAGCTTAGGATGTGTTTACAGCTCTTTCTA